GGGAAAAACTCAGCAGAAACCAAGATTGGCTGAGGAAACTTGTTCAGAACAGCAGGAAGACAGAGTTTTACGTTGACCTGGTCATAGAAGATATGTTAAGTTTATGCATGACGAAACAGCTCTTTTTTCCTTAATGCTCCTCATTTCTAATCGTATATTTCAATTGTTGTTCCCATAACATACCAAATGGGTTGCATACTTGTATGAGAAGTCCAGCACAGCTATGTCTCGACTAGGTTAGAGGTTGATTATCTCGAGAGGGCATTGAACCTGAGGAGCAAATGTAGCATATATTTTCTAAATCATGAACTATCAAGGCCTTAAATAATTATTGTTTATAGGAAAAACGAATTAGCAACCTACCTGTGCCCTCGGAGGAATAGTCTCAGGTACTAAGGAGAGCTCCATCTTTAGATGTGATGGGGGTAATATGAGAGCCTGAACTGAAACGAGAGGAGCAGTATTCTTATTTCCCAAGAAGAGAACAACTCGCCCATGATGCGCTTGCCACTCGGATTTAACGCCAATCTACAATTATATTTGGTCCAATTTCAAATTAATTAGTCTGTTCAGTTAAAAGCTCGTATCATGCAAGCTGCAGAAAACCGAACCATAATGTGGTAAACGACTCTGCCCCTGGATGTAAGGGTCCTCGTATTGTACACCACTATCCTTTAGCTTTAGAGCATGAAAGCTTTCAGCAATATCACCAATAGGCTGCAATCATGAAAGACAAAAGTAATAAACCAGAAGAGTAAACTGGAGGGAGAAACTGGTTTAACCGTCTAAGTGAAGTTTTTCCTGCAGCACCTCGTCACTTACAAAATATTTGAGGCTGAGATTGGACAGAGTCAATGCTGTGTCCAGACAATGAAATACCATCGATAGAGTATTTTTTTCTTAAAGAAAATTTAAGGAAAAAAAAAAACTCCCCATTTTTGAATGTTTTCTTTTGATATAGTGTAGTGATGCATTTAAAGAAGAACGAATGTCAAATATGATCGAGAAAGTTCTAATGGAATTCTATTTATTGAAAGATTAATCTAACTATCAAAATCGCATCCAAGAGGACAGATAGATGAGCATGAGTAAAATATGACGTACCTGGACAGTATAAGCTTGCTCCTCGACTGGTGCAATGGCCAATGCATCTTGGTTGGCACCAACTTGCAATCCAGAAGCAGCCCTCGGCTCAGAATGAGGAGCAATGCCTAGTGGGCCTTCTATAGCCAGCGGCCCTAAAAGATCTCCAAGTAGATCAGGAGAAGGCGTGCTAGGAGGTTTAGGATCCACTACTGTCAGAGCTCCATTTGCATTTGCCAATCCCTATTCAGTAGAGCTCTGATCATGCCCATGTATTCAGCTTTTGGTTTACACTTTACAGGATGATAATATTTCAGCTTTAGCTTAAATACCAAAAGTATAGAAATAATAAATAAAATACAAATTCAGTTATCTTTTGAACCCCCATTCCCTTATAAATTATATAGATACCACCTTCAGATCTTCATTTGTTTTGCAAAGTAGCATTTGCCTAGATAGGATTTGCTATTTTGGAAACTTAATTGGGTGTTCTATAGTTGGAGGCTAAAACCTCTGTGTAGTTGTACATGAGTATTTTTGAAAAATAAGATCTTTAAACTGAGGCGGCCTTTAATAATCTACAGAAGGTCATCTGAATCTCACCGCATTACTCACCGTAGGCACCTTCACAAGACCAAGCTGGCTCACAGGTGCTGCCCCATTTGCTGGCCGCTGATATGACACTACCAAAGCACTAGAATTCTGTTGCTGGGCCCACAACTTAGTTGCACTTTGTTCGGCTGTATCAGCTTCAGAATCCTCAACCTTCTTTATCAATGAGGACTGGAACCAAAAATTCGTTTCATTCAGAATCCATATAAAAAATTATACGAAGACAAGTAATAAAAGGATGCTTCAGCCAAGTTCATGACTTTGAAGAACTGATTTTAAGTCAATATTGTAAACCTTTCTTTCAGAGAACTTCGGCATTTCAACTAGTATATCCATTAAAGCAGCACCTTTCAAACTCAAAGCATGACATTCAACAGCGCGTTGTTGTATTTCGGCATTTATACAACTCTCATACCTGAAACGAACAATTTGTC